TGCAGCACATGGATTCTGTGTTTGTCCCCTCTCCCTCACCCCAGTGCAGAAGTGATGCAGCACATGGATTGTGTGTTTGTACCTGTGGGCCTGCAGGAGGCAGCCCTTCTGTGCAGCAGACAGTGAGCTCAGGAGCAGGACAGCAGGACACCTAAGCAGTCTGCTGAGCCTGTTCTGCTCCAGGCTGCCATGCCCAGGGCTCCTCAGCCCTCAGCCCAGCCGTGGGGCAAGAGTTAGGGATGGCAGAGCTTCTGAACCACAGCCATGATGGGAAAACAGGGACAGAACACTTAGCAGAGGAAAACACAGCACTGGGTGGTCACAATGAGGCTTCTTTGTGACTGCCCAAAATGAGACTACTGAAGCACCTGATGAGCACTCAGAACCTCTCCTGGGTCACCCACAGCAGGGCTGGTCCCAGATGCACCACCAGGGATGGGGAAGATCAGGGACAGCAGGAGACACATGTGAGCCGTGCTCTGGGCATTGTTACCCAAAGCCTTCCATAACTGCAGCACTTGCCTTACTGTGTCTGTGCCCAGGAAGGAGCAGTGCCAGCCCTGCTGAGCAGCTGTGCCACAGCTCCACGGGCTGCTGCGGGCACCGGGGGCTCAGAGGGGGCTCAGGGGCCATCGCTGCCACTGCCCTTAGTGCAGTGGTGCCCAACAAACCCAACTCCATGCCCATCAGCACCGCCAGACTGGCTCCTCTCACTGCCCTGCTCTCTGTGCACAGCCATAATTCACTGGCACCACAGAGCCAGGGGCTCCCAGGCTGCTCCACATCTCACCCACAGAGCAGAGCCCCACTGAGGACATTTCCCGAGATGATGCCCATGCAAGGTGTGAGATGTGGACCCCCAAATGATAAATAAATCCCGTGCCAGCTCCTGCCCTCACTGTGCTGCCCCCCAGGCCCAGCTGAAGGCTGTTCCCAGCCAGGAGCCCCCTCCAGTCCCTCACTGCAGCAGGAGGGGGGCAGTGCTGCCCTGGGCGCCCATCCAGGCTCTGCCAGGGTGGGCTGGGCTCAGCACAGGATTTCCCACAACAGGCTGAACCCTGCCAGCTCACACACAGCTCACAGGTTTGTTCACGTTCAGAATTCCGCCCCATCCTGGGGTTTCCAGGAGCTGCCCCTCTTCTGTATGTGAGAGCAGAGCACACTCCAAGACTGATGAGCTGAAAAGCTGAAAGTCCAGATCTATGTTACTGCCCTCAAAGAACAAATGTTTGCAATGCAGCAAGTTAGATCCAAGGCAGCAGGAATAAAATGAAAAAAAGAATTACTTCATTCTAAAGTTAATGGTATTCTGCACCTTTTATCATATCCTAAGAGTAACTCAGTCAGCTACAAAGTAAGAGAGAACTCTGTTTAGCTCTGCCCCATTTTCTGTTCCCAATAAAAAAGTCAGAGCCAATTTTTGCTCCCCCTCCAAATAGCTGCTCTTTTAAAAAAAGACTACAGAAGTTGGAAATACCTTTCATGTCTTGTAATCTTGAAAACTGCCAGTGTTCCAAGGGTATCCCTTAAGCAGTGACAACAGCCCTTGCCATCCCCCATGTCCCCAGCTAACCCTGAGCAAAGGCCTGTGATGTTCTGCCACACATAAAAACACAAGTGAGTACCTGGAATAATGAAGTGAGATGGGAATTTTCACTTTGCAATGGAAGTTTCAATGACTCTGCACTGCAGCTGTGTAAGCTCTGTGTCCCACTGGCCCCAGGAACCCTGAGTGCCCCCTGTGACCCTGGGGCGCCCTGGCAGCCTTCAGGGATTTCCTACACACACCTCATTGCCCTGCAGCACAGTCCCCCTCAGGAGGGGCTCTGTGCTGTGCCTGCCCAGCCCAGCCTCATGTTTGCCTCCAAAAGCAGCAATTAGCTCATTTTCAATTAGCCAGTGCACTAGGCATTATGCCTGGGAGCCTGCATTTTCTGCAGGGATTCCCTGTGGTTCCTCAGCTGAGCAAGCAGCAGCAGAGCCCTTTTCCCTCGTGGATGGCCATGTTATTAACATACAAATATTGCCTTTGTGCATGCTGAGCATCCTCTGTGAGCCCCAAGGGGGGAGCAGCCAGGGCTGTGAAAAGGTCCTGTGCAAAGGCACAGCCAAAAAACCTGCTTACAGGCAGGAGCATTAATAAAAGGCTTCATTTTTAGGAAACC